TAATTAACACCAAATTTTGATTATTAACTTATCAATCAATTAATAGTAAATAAAATTATTCAACCTTTTAGATTTTTCTCGTGCATTTCCCGTGCATCACACGGGTCCCCACTAGTAATTACTATATTGTAAATAAACTTTATTAATTAAACTAACTAAACTATATTGTAAATTAAATTAACAAAACTACTAGGTAGGTTTATGTTTATACCAAAAGAAACTATTAATATTATCTAAGTTGACATAATTAGTATTATTTATTCATTAAATTAATATAACGGGTCCCCACTAGTAATTACTATATTGTAAATAAACTTTATTAATTAAACTAACTAAACTATATTGTAAATTAAATTAACAAAACTACTAGGTAGGTTTATGTTTATACCAAAAGAAACTATTAATATTATCTAAGTTGACATAATTAGTATTATTTATTCATTAAATTAATATAATATCTAAATTAATGTACTTATACTAATTATGTTCCAAACTGGTGAAAGTTGTATATAGTATGTTCTAAAGCCATTTTAGACTGTGTATACATATCGTTTAGGAAGTCCAAATTTCAATATCACTTGCCAGTCACTCGTACTACGCTAGCAATTAAACAAACTTAAAAAATAAAGTTGGAGTTATTGATGACAATTTTGAGAAGGTGGATCAATGAATGCCTATGCAATGAGAAGAATGACCAACGAGGTGGAATGCTAATGATTCATATAACCTCTATTATTGAAAATTCAACAGGGAGGTATGGCATGTTTAGAAAAGTGCAAAGTTAATGGATGAAAATCTTCCAATAACATGACAGAAGTAGCATGAAACTTGAGAGAGAGAGAGAGAGATTGGCTCTATATGTCCACTCTCCAAAATTTTGAAAAAAACAGGTTCTACATGTTCAGAGACATGTGTTCTATTTTCTCTTACAATTAAATAATTAAAAGAAATTAAAATTTAGGAGAGATATTTTAGGAGTGGGAGATATTTTAGGAAAATTTAAAAAATGAATGATTTTAGAGAGAGGATTGGGTTTTAGGAAGAGAGAGGCTCCATAACAGTTGTGCTTCCTAAAAATAAGGACTTGTGCGTTACCAAAGAGAAAGATTCCAATTGATCAGAATAAAAACAAAGAACAAAAATAGGAAGTTAGTAACAAGATTTTAGAAAAAGGATTGGGATTTAGAGAGAGAGAGAGTCCAAGTCCATAACTAGACCTGGCAAAAAGTTGACCCAACCCAACCTGAAAAAACAGGATTAGGGTCTCATATTTAACTACCTGAATGGGAGAATGACCTGGCCCAACCCAACCTGGAAAAAACTGGGTTGGGTCATAGGTCAACTTACTGACCCGATTGTCAAGTCTAATTGGGACTATTTATGCATTATTACAAGTTTTCACTCTTTATTTTTTTCCATTTAGTCTTTAGTCTTTATTGTTTATTCTTTGAATTGTTAAATGTTCAAGTTTTTTTATTTTATATTTGGAATTTTAAGATTAATTCTTTTCATTTTGGCATTTTTCATGTATTTTTTCTTTATGTTTTTAAATTTCAATTATTTTTTGGGATGACTTGAATTGATCCATGGGTCACCCTAACCCAAATATTTAAGGTTAGGGTCTAGCATTTGACAACCCAACCCGAAATCAACCCAAAGTGTCTTGACTCAACCCGAACCTGACCCACCCAACCCAATTGCCAGGTCCATCCGTAACGATTATGTCACCTAGAAATGAGGAATTATGGATCACTAAAGAGAGACTCCAATCATAAGATAGATAGGGAATGGGTTGCTGATGTGGCTTAATGACAAAAGGGAAATAGAAGAAAGGAGAAAGAGTTTAAGGAGGAAGTAGGGAAGGGGGTTTGAAGAAAGGAGAGGCATGTTTTGCTAAATGTTATTGTATGTAGTATATTATTGACATAAAACTTGTTGAATGAATGATTTTGTCTTTGCCTTGTTTTTTTTTTTTCTCTCTGTTCCAATTAGCTTGCCGACTTGACAAGTGGTTGGGGGAATTGGGCATGTTGGCTAGGTCATTCAGCCCTACACCTTGTATTTACTAGTATACATTTTGGTTTTTGTTGATTGAGACTTTGGGAGAAATACCCGTCAAGGACAACTACAATTGCAAACTCCAGTTAAAGGATTCTTTAGCCTCTTCAAGTGGCTCAGATTCGTCCTACAGACCAAGTACCAACAACCTCGTGCTCATTGGGTGGTTAACTAGTGATAGCCATTGCCCAAAGCAAGATACACAATTTTATGTATTAGTCTTCATCACCCATTAGTTCTTCCATAGAATCCTCTCATCTACATCGTCTTTAGACTATGAGCATTGCTAAGTATTAGAATTCTAAGTTTAAGGAGGTCCAGAAGTCATCTCAATCAAAAGTTCGAAGACCGTTAAGAATAAACAAAGGTTATCATCCTCATTATTTTGTGATTTTGATTTGTCTTTTTTTTTTTTGGTTTTTTCTCTCATTGGTTTATAGGACTGTTGTTCCTTGTATAATTATTAGGGTTAGGTCTTATGCCTCTTGATGTTTTCCGATCCGATGTGTTCTGAATTGAGGACACAATCAGATAGTCATGTCAATTGGATGAGGTCAAGGTGGAAGAATAAAGCTGTGCATCGAGACCTGCAACCAAGAGAAAGGTTAGAGACCCGAGGAGTTGTCCCCGAGTAGGTATTCCGACACTCAAGTCAGTAGGATCGAGAATGATGTGGCCAAACTGGGCACGTTGAAATAGCGTTGGTCCAGGCCAAAAAAATAGTGCAAAGAAATATTCAAAGAGTGCAATTAAAAAAAAGGTCCCTTACCTCGAGTGGGGAATACTTACTTATAGTTGGGTGTTTGTGTCCCATATAGATAGGGCTTCGGGAGGTTTCCTCTTCCCTGATGGAATCCACTTCCTTGTCCGTACATGACACTCTTTTTTAGTTGTACTCTTCTATTATGTATAACAACGACATGGCCTAAAAAGGGAGGCAGTTGCGGAAATTGCCACACATAGTCTCTATGAAGCCTTGTGATTTAAGAAAGGAATTGTAGGAAAATGGAATTATTTGACCTCTTTACTAGCTAGGAGGAGATGAATAATAATCTAACATTAATCTATATATTGACATTAAGTTTGAAACAAGGAAGGATAGGTTGGCATGGCAAATTGCCATTTGTCACTCTTGTGCAAAACGGTGCAAATTAAAGGATGTGAGTTCCCATGTCCTATTGTCATATATATCATTTGCTACAAAATTATTTATTAATTCAAATAAGTTAATATCATGTCTTATAGAATTTTATTAATTCAAATAAGTCAATATCATTTGCTACCAGCTTATCAAATTACCGATAGGTTGGATAATTTTTTGTTGGATTTTTGTTTTGGAAGGAAGGTTCAAAATATATAAATATTTAATTATCCCCTTTTCTTAGAAAAAGTTTTGTCTTATTGTTTTGTCCTTTCCCTTGTTCTAGCCTTTTGATGCATTGCCCCATATTGTTTGAGAAAAGAGGTTGAGTTTAGCTTGTAAGATAATTTGCTATCCTTATGGATAAGGACCCATTAGAGGAAAAATACACTATATATATTAGACCATAAAAATGGCCTCTTAAGATCAATTAATTAATCCACTTTAACACAAAAAAGACTAATTTGGAACACCTAAATAATCCAAATATGCATGAACTGTATTTGGATATATACAAAAATGATTCTTTGTATATGACACTAATTAAATAGAATGGAATGACAAAACGTAATGTATAATTTGGGTAACACTAGATACTGATAGTGACTCCACCATCCAAGCAATTTCTTCTGGTATGAATTAAGACTTTGGACTTAGGAGTTAGCACAATAAAACAAAAGTTATAAGATGGGGGACTTAGATTTATTTCTTTTTTAGTCTAATATGAATTGATTCATTATCCTATCATAACCCTTGAAGCATTTATCTTAGATACATGAACATGCATCACAGTTGTGGTCCATTTATTATGTATAAGGAGTAAGAGTAATGATGTGATCAATTCCATGTTTCATGTCCAATGTTTCATGTGTATGGAGCCCTCATCATTTTTATTACAACTTTCCAACTTATCAAACAAGACAATTGCACTGCGGTCTCTCTCTCTCTTTGTATTAATCAACACCTCAACCCCCCAGGGCCATTAGTGTTTCTCTCCTTTTATTTTTGTAGGCTATATCCATTTAGGCTTTATTTGATATTCCTTATTTTAAGGATTTATCTCATTTTTGTAGTTATAGGGCATTTCCACAAAAAGGAAATAAATCCTTAAAACAAGGAATGCCAAATGTAGTCTTAGTCTTATGAAATTAAGGGTTCGTTTGATTTACAATTAAAATTGAAATTGAAATTGGAATCAAAATCAACCAGAGAGGGGAAAGAATGATCATTCCCTCCAATGAGAGAATGTCATTTGACCAAGAATGGAAATAGAATTCTAATCCCCTCTAACAAAATGGTTGGACACTTGGACCATTCTAATTCCCATTACAAACCCAATTCCATGAAGCAACAGGATATAAAAATCTTTTTATTAATATCTAAAGCGCTTGCCATTGATGATAAATAATAAAAAAAGAAGCAAGTAACTTTGTTCCAATTAGAAAGCTATAAACTTCAAACTCAAAGTGATTAGAGCACGTGGCTAAAATAAAAAGTAAAAATTTTAAACGATTATTTGGGACCACCCTCTATAATGCAAATAGTTTGCGTGTAAATTTTAATTTATTTTTATTTTAAATTTTATCTTATTTTGTTTGTAAAATAAGATTTGAAACAAAATAAAATAAAACTCAAAACAAAAATAACAAAATTAAACCAGTATTTATATTCTTCTCATTTGCACCCTCACCGCAATCAAACACATCCTTGTAGATTATAATGAGGTAAGTTTTGACCATTTAAATGGAATCTTTTTTTCATTATCTAACTGATGATAAAGAGGTGATAATCTATTATCCCTAGAACTGGAGTATGAAATTAATAGGCTGAGATGCAGACAAACTGTTCCCAACTCCCCCATATCGTGTCTCAAAGTCTCAAACCCTAAAAATCCTATTATCTGATTCTGAATCTATTCTATCCATTTCGTTGTTTGTCATAAACAAAGCCTGATTCTGGTAATTTTGTTCAAAATTCATGGGCATTCCGTTAAGCCAGTCTCGTATCAGAGATACGTAAGAATATTTTTTTTTTCTTTTGTATTTTTCGTGTTTTTTCACGCACAGAGCTTCAAGGTTCGCGAAACCCTAACTGCAACGGATTCCTCTGACGTCCACTTTCACTGCCTCTTTCTCCGAGCTGAGCTGAATTCTTGAAACTTTTCTTCAGAATTCTCCATGAGATGCGCTCGGTATCTGCCGTTGCTGTTGATTAGGTAATACTGGTTCTATCTCTCTGAAAATTCACTCTGTAAATATGTCCTGCGATGGTTCTGTGGGTCGGAGAGAAGAATCTCAGACTGGTAATGGCAATGGCAACGGCGTCGTCGCTTCGAGCCGTCCGCTGTACGCAAGTCATAGGCTTCGGTTGAATCCCAACACTGATCACAAGCCAGAGAACTACGATGACTTGCAATTGGAGTTTAGCCCCTCGGTTTTCAGCTCGCTGGAGCGGTACCTTCCTCCGAGTATGTTGAACGTCTCGAGAGACGCGAAGGTTCAGTACATGAAAGAGATTTTGTCGCGGTATTTGCCCGAAGGAGAACGGACCAGAGTAGGTCTCAGAGATCTCTTCTGCTTGAAATATCTGTAGCTTCTCTTGATTTTTTTTTTAAACATCTTTTTCCTTTCTCACTATTGAGCGAATTGCTGTAAGTTTTATCTTTATGGTTGTTCTTTAATTTTATTAATTGAGAAAGGGTGTTTATTGGAAAACTAAGTTCAACTGATGACAAAGCTGTTTATTTTCTTCTGCTAAATATCGTATTATGCGACATAAGTGTTTTTAATAAGTAACGGTGGGGAATATCTTAATAGATGTTAAAACATGCCAGAATTCAACCCCCTCCTCACTTAACGGGATGGTAACTATTACTTACATTGATGGTGAAAATTTGGCACAATTTTGATTTTTGATTGGGTAATAATTAATAAATTTGTGAAACCGTGAATTCTCCCCTACGGCACCATTTTTCCGGTAGATTAATTCCATAATTTTTAAAAATTTCCCCAAAATACTTGGCTTTTTATTAGTTTCTTTTTTCACTTACAACACATGTAAGTATGAAAATATACGGATATATAAATGCATGCATACGTTTTTACACACATACACATGCATATTTACTTATATTTTGTTAAAAATCTATTTAAATTTGGATTTTTTTTTCTCATGAGATTGAATTGCTTTGGTGCTATGGTTAAACCTTGGGCTGACATGCCTGAGAACATGGATTTGAGTCTGAGATTGACCACTTTGTGCAAGAAAATACTGAAGGTTAGGTTCTTATAAGTGTTAATGCTAGATTACATATAGAAGTATCCATGCAGTATCTGGTTACTGGTATGCTAGGCATGTATAGGTATTTGGGTATCATGGCTCCAGATAAACCTGGATTGCCCAAGATTTATGAGAAAAGTTGAAGTTACCAAGGTTTGGACTTTCTTAGTCTTTTTTGTGTGAATTTCCAGTTTGAATTGAATCAAAGGTTTAATTATAAAAAAAATCAAAGGTTAAATTTTTGGAGGTATTTTTACCAGTACATATGTTCAGTTAATTTATGCTTTTGTAAAAACTTTTACCAGATTTGGGTGTTTTTGGCATGAATTTTCAGCTTGTGTGAAGTAAAAAAGAAACTCAAAAATAAAAACTAATGGATAAATTGAAAAAAATTTACAAAAGGTTGATTTTTTTTTTCAATATTACAATTCAAAAACTGGAACTGCTGATTTCTGTTATGTGGACCTTCCATTATGAACATAATTTCTTTCTTTCTCCCTTATAAATATGTCAGCTGCATGTTAGTTTGCAGCTCGTGGGAATATTCTGATAAATTTTATTTTTGGTGGATTGTTGCTTACTTGTAATTGGAAAATGTAAAAGAGGTTATTGGCTTATTGTTTGGTGCAATGGTAAAATCTTGGGCTGACAAGCTTGCAGTTGTGGCTTAGAGTCTGAGAATGGTTACCTTGTGCAAAAAATTTCCAAAGGTTAGGTATCGCAACCAAAAAGTTACCGAATATAAAAAAAAGAAAAATCTGACAATTGAGCACAAAGTTATGGGCCTTATGGCTTCTGGAAGTTTGCATATATAATATATATTTTTGTTTTGATGTTTAATTTTTTCAATAACAACACCTATATGCATATAATTATATATGCAGAAAATAGTACATTCATGAATACATAATTTTGTGGATGTCCCGACGTACATAGATATAGATGCTATAAAAACAATTTGAACATAGATATCGATGCTTGACCTGCTCATTGGGTCAAGCAGGTTGTCTGTTCAACTTCCCAGCTCAGGGGGTTGCTGACCAAGTCAACAGTTTTTAAGTAACGTTGGGTTTAGGGTTAACCTGGACTGGACTCATGACCAGGTGGTGGGTTGAATGGTCCAACCGGAAGGGTCAATGATAGGTTGAAAACACTGGTTGGGATGGGTCAATCATGACCAGGTGATGGGTTGAATGGTCCAACCGGATGGGTTGAAAACACTGGCTGGGATCAACATTATGCAATGGTTCTGTAATTTGAAAATGAACCTTTGCTATGTGAAATGTTTAAAATGATACCTCTTTTTCCAAATTTCCTATCTTTGTGTCCTTTTGTACTTTAATGTATTTTAATGTTTATGGTCAATTTTTAGTGGGAAAGCTTCCTCAATTTTTACATGTTATCATTGTAAGAAATTTGAAGTTGTTTTACATATAGTCAGTTTCATATGTAACATCTTTTATTTTGTATAAATGTATTATGTAGCATTTTTATCTTCTTTCCTCTCTTTCTCTCTTTTGAAATGTGTAAGTCTACTTGAAAATTCAGTTGGATTTTGGTGGTATCTTAAATGGGAATACAGTGGTCTTATCTTCTCTCTTTTTGTTGTGCATTTACTAATTTAATAATTAGTATATCTAAATAACTATGGAGTTTCAAATCAAATGTGGAGTATCCAGAATCTTAATTATTTAGACTTACAAATCTGATTCAGGTAATTGCCATCTTAACTATAAAATGGATTTTGTGTGGTTACTAAATTCTTTTTGAAAGGTTATTCCATTGCCCAGGTCTAGATGTCTTTAACAAGCCATGAATGTTTACTTCCTGACCTAGGAAAAGAAGGGTTATGAGCATGTGACATGGGGAAATCTGAAAGGCACAAAGAACGGACCGGTAGTGGGAGATTGGAGGTTGTAGTCCCTTTAAGGAGATAAATATTCATAATTCATGTTGGAACTCCCATGGTATTCTACACAAGATGCTGGAGTTTTATTAAGGATGATTTAGTGACATCTTTGAAGGAGTTCTACGAGGAATATGGCCTGTCTGATGGTGCTAGATCCACTTTTATCTCACTCGATCTCAAACTGCAAGGGGCAGCTGATCTCAAAGACTACTGACCTATTAGCCTAATTGGAAGTTTTAATAAAGTTGGATAAATTAGTCTTACCTTATCAGGAAGCTTTTGTGGATGGGCAGATTCTAGACAGTCCCTTGAATCCTTGATTTCTAATGAGTGCATTGACTCTAGGGTGTGGCAAGGAATTCCAAGGTGTCATGTGCAAGTTTGATCTGGAGAGAGTGTATGATCATGTTTCCTGGAGCTATGTGGACTATACTTTGAGGAAGATGGGCTTTGGTTTGTTATGGAGATGATGGATTCATAGTTGTATTTCAGCACCTATGTATTAGGTCATGGTGAACGGTGCTCCAGTTGATTATTTTCCAGGGGAGAGGGCTCTTAGACAGGGGGACTCCTTGTCCCCACTGCTATTCTCTCTTGTAGTTGACCCATTGGGCAGAATGATGAAAAAGGCTGAGGAAGATAGCTACTTAGAAGGTTTTTCTGTAAGTGATATTGGTCTAAGGGTGCCATTACTGCAATTTTTAGATGATACCCTCATTTTTGCAAGGGAAAAGCAGGATGATATGTTATTCCTTCGATGTTTGTTCATCTGTTTTGAATCGGTTTCTGCTTTGAAAGTCAGTCTACAGAAGAGTCAGCTAATCCCAGTTGGGGATGTTCCTCACATCAATGATCTTGCTTCAACCCTTGGCTGTCAGGTGGCCTAACTTGCCTACAAAATATCTTGGGCTTCCATTGGGTGCCAATTATACCTCTACAATAATATGGGATCTTGTTATTGAGCATTTTTCTGGAAGCTCTTTGGTTGAAAAAGGAGATTGCTATTGAAATGGGAAAAAATTGTTCTCATTCAAAGCATACTCTCTTAACCTCCCCACTCATTACATGTCTTTATTTACTATTCCAGCTACGGTTGTTTCTGTTCTGGAGAAGCTGCACAGAGATTTCTTGTGGGAGGGCCTTGATTAGGTGCAAAAACTGCATCTGGTTGCTTGGGACAAGATCTATGAATCCAAAGAGAAAGGTGACATTGGTATTAAACAGCTGAATTTGATGAACAAAGCACTACTGTCAAAGTGGCTTTGGTTAGGGGAAGAGCAGTCTCTCTTGTGGAGGCAGGTGATAGAAGGTAAATACAAGTCCTGTTCTTTTGGGCTGGGAGTCACTGGGACTTGTGATAGAGTCTTCTTTTAGACAGATGTTTGGTGCGGTGACCGGGCACCGTGTGATGTATTTCCTATTCTGTACCAAATAGCTGAAGATTGAGACACCTCTGTCAAGGATTCTGTTGACTGTGCCAGCCCACAATTGGTGTGGGTGCCAAAGTTTAGGTGCAATTTGAATGATTAGGAGGTAGAGATGGTGGATAAGTTGCTGAGAAGTTGGAGGATGTCCAGTTAAATATCCATTTGAGGGAACATAAGAGTTTGGACCTTGGAGCAATCATGGTCCTTTTCCTACTAAGTCCTGTTATAAGGCATTAGTTGGTTATTTCACCAAGGTTGATTGTTGCTGGATCTTGCAAGCAAAGGTTCCTTCCAAAGTCATTTTCATGGTACGGTCTGCTGTGTGGGATTGAATTCAGACTATGGATTTGCTAAACAGAAAAGGGATGAATCTGGACAATACATGCTACCCTGTGTGGCCGGGCCCCTGAATCTGCAAGTCATCTTTTTATCCGTTGCCTGTTTACATTATTGATTTGGTACCATTTCGTAAAGCTGTTCCATAGGCAATGGGTGTTTCCCCAGTCATGGGTTGATCTGTTATCATCTTGGAGAGTTAATGGGAGAATCCTTTGGGACCAGCTGTCTTTTGCACTCTGCTGGAGGGTCTGGAAAGAGAGGAACTGCAGGGTTTTCCAAGGGAAAGCTTCCTGATGTGGAGATCAGAGATCTAATGAGTAGGATAGAGTGGGTGTTAGCCAGATGGGCTAGAGTGCTGCATCAATTCTCAGCTGTTTCAGTAGCAGATTTTACAAATGACTGGAACTCAATTATTTGTGATTACTCTTTGTATATCACTGTACATGATATAGTGATACTTTTTGAGAGGTTTCTGATTTCTGATATAGAGATACTTGTATAGAGGAGGGTACCTTGCCCTCCCATTTCAAATTTATGTCATAATACAACACTTTTTACCATTTATCGAAAAAAGAAATATTCATCAAAGAGGTCATTATGTTAATTTTTTTTGTCCTATAAGCAAGGACCTGGTAAAAATATATCCTTTGGTTATGATTCCAGCTGTATCAGATTCAGCTGTGCGGTTGCAGGATTTTACTGTAGTTTGAATTTACAAGTATGAGAGAGAACATCTCTTTTTCTTGTTGATAAGTGGTAAAAGTTGAGTTTATAAAACTAATGAGAAAGGGACTTATCAAAAAAAAAAAAGAAAACTAATGAGACAGGGAATCTCTTTTGGTAATTGAAAATTCAATATGAAAAAAATTCAAAAGAGATAGTGTTGTTGATTAATAGTTCCATTGAGATGGGGCATATGAAGTATTAGTTTAAAATTTTTTCAATTAGCATCAAGAAATAACCTGTTGTCCTTCTGAGAACCTGGCTGTTTGTATTGGAAATTATTAGACTTTACTTCCCCTTGTTTATGCATTAGAGGCAATTAATTTGATTCTTTGAAGCTGTGTCTTAGCTTAATATTTGGAAATACTTGAAAATTTTTATATCCTAGCTTGTTTTATCTTGAAAGTTATTATTGCTGATATATTGTATACTCAATTCAACTCTCTCAGCCTGAACCCCAACTATCAGGGTTTGGCTACATGAATCTTTTTCTTCCATTGGCTGACCCATTGCATATTTTAGTAATATTCTTACATTTTAATCCCAGTTGTTCTGATTTTAACTCAACTCAGCCTTAACTCCAACTATTAGGAGTTGGTTAATTGAATCTTCTCCTTCCATTTGCTGAGCTATTGCATATTTTAGTAATATTCTTACTTTGTAATGCTAGTTGTTCTCCAGATCTCCCAAAAAAAAAAATGAAAAAAAGAGAAAAAAGCAGATCCATATTTCCTTTTGCAATGGACACAATTTTATCCTCACCAAATAAATTATGATATTCCTTTTTTTTTCATGTTTCAGGTTCAGAGGCATAGAGAGTACAGGCAGAAGATAATATCAAATTATCAGGTACACTTCACTGTATACTTTTTGTTTGGTTATCTTGGGTGCTGTTTGGATAGGCATTTTTTGAAGTACTTTCATACTAAGCACGACTTTGCATTTGTTTCATGTGCTTTATACTTTCACTTTCATACTTTGGAAAAGTACAAAAAATACCACAACCACGAAGTTGGCTGATATTTCAGGCTTTTGAACCCCTAAAATACTTTATTCTTTCTAAAACATGTGTATCACCTTTACATGTGGTATTAAAACCCCACCACATGGCTGCATATATGGCTGCCACATGGCACTTGAACGTTTCAATGACATGTCTGCCATGTGGTGGCATATATGGATGCCACATAGCATCAGTAACATGTGTGTGCCATATGACAACCTATATGGATGCCACATGGCATCATTGACACACATGTACCATGTGGTAGCATATATGGATGCCATGTGGCACCTAAATGTATTCAATGATACATGTTTGTCATACAACAACATATATGGATGCCACATGGCACTTCAATGTATTCAGAGGCATTTATGTGTCAATTATCATGTGGTGGTATATATGGATGCCATGTGGCACTTGAATGTATTCAATGGTATGTGTGTGTCACATGGCAGCATGAGTGGATTCCACATGACACTTAAATGTATTCAATGACATGTATGTGCCATGTGGCAGCATATAATGCCATGTGGCACTTGAATGTATTCAATGGCACATTTATGGCATGTGGTAGTAGGGGAGCTCATGGTTTAGTTAACCAAACCATGGGCCTATTTTCCAAACCATACCGGTACTACTGTTTTTTGGAAAACTGGTAACCGAAACTGAACTGAAGCCAACCGGTTAACCGCCAGTTCAGTTGGTCAGTTTTTCGGTTTTTTGATATTTATAGTATATATTATAAATAAATATATAAATATATAATAAAATACTAGAAATACATATAAAATATTATAAATAATAAATAATATATTGTATATTATATATTTATATATAATGCATATATTCATTTATAATATATAGATAATCTATACTACTTATAAAAGTGCCAATGGGGTCTCTTTTCCTGGAATTTTTATTGGACATAAATTGCCCCTCATCTATAGATTTCAAAGGGTTAATTTTGTATTTTAACATTTTAATAAAGAAGTGGTAATTAAAACAATTGGAGTTGTATTAATCATCATATTACAAATCATGTAACTGACACTTACATTAAAATCATCAACCATTCTAAGCCATTAAAGACATACTCTCTCCACATACACCATTAAAAACCTACTTTCCTCTAACATTAACACTTCTATCTTGCAATCTTTTTCTCCTATTACCTCTTTCCTATCAAAGGCAACCTCACTACCTCAGCTATGATCTAACCACACAACCCCTAATTGGTTGCATCCGGTATTCCCTCCCGCTTATCTCAATACCATTACTAAAATTATCATTTTTTTTTAAATTATTACTGAAATTATCACGTGCAACACACGTTCACATTTACTAGTATAAAGTATATATGAAAATACCGGATGTGCACGTGCACATTTACTAGATAGATGTGCAACGCACATGCATATCTATCTATCTATCTATATATAGATAATACCGAACTGAAACCAAACTGATCAGTTCAGTTAGCCAGAATTTTTGGTTTTTGATGATCACCCCTATGTGGTGGCATATATGAATGCCATTAAAGACATACTCTCTCCACATACACCATTAAAAACCTACTTTCCTCTAACATTAACACTTCTATCTTGCAATCTTTTTCTCCTATTACCTCTTTCCTATCAAAGGCAACCTCACTACCTCAGCTATGATCTAACCACACAACCCCTAATTGGTTGCATCCGGTATTCCCTCCCGCTTATCTCAATACCATTACTAAAATTATCATTTTTTTTTTAAATTATTACTGAAATTATCACGTGCAACACACGTTCACATTTACTAGTATAAAGTATATATGAAAATACCGGATGTGCACGTGCACATTTACTAGATAGATGTGCAACACACATGCATATCTATCTATCTATCTATATATAGATAATACCGAACCGAAACCAAACTGATCAGTTCAGTTAGCCAGAATTTTTGGTTTTTGATGATCACCCCTATGTGGTGGCATATATGAATGCCACATCGCATTGGATACACTATGTGGCAGCATATATCAATGTTATGTTGAATTCACACGTGCTGCATTTTGTTGTATCCAAACACCATGTGTTACCTTTATTTTAAAAAGTATGCTTTTGAAAATTTTTCATCAAAATGTATTTTACATTTAAAAGTATGGAAGAAGTATAATTTGTACTTAATACTTTCGTACTCACAAGTTTATAAAGCACGAGTCTATCCAAACAACACTTTAATTTCTGACCTAGGAATAATTTCATTGCCTTGGAGAATGGGGGCAGGAAAAAGAAAACCGACTCTTAGATGCCATGATGCATATGGTAACCAGAGCATTGTGTGTTCATTTTTTAAATGGTAATGCAATTTAATATAATGAGATGAATTACATTTTTTAGCTTTCCAGAGCATATACCACAGTTATATTTCTATGTTTCTGATCAGTGGTCATATATATATATAAATTATTAAAAATACAAAACAGAATAGGTGTGGAAGGATGTGGAGGAAATCTTTGAGCCTCCCTACTCATAAAAAAAAATCTTTGAGTCTCCCTAGAAGAAAGGTACACATGTTTTAGAAACAACAAAGTTTCAATTATGAACTCTTTGAAATGTGTTGGATGATTATTTAATTACGGCTTTGCCTGTCTGAGAATGCTTTAGACAATGATCAAATGGCAATCATTCTCTTATTTTCTCCTTCCACATCCTCCAACAGGAGGTAAACTCCATAGGATTCTACATCTCACTTGAATTAACTCCTTGGCAAGATCTACATGCAGAAGATATGAACATATTGTCCTAGGTCAAGAAGAATTCCAGCTCTTTACTTAAAGATTATATATCATTATAAATTGAAGTTCCTAGGTGGATTCATACACCATGAGGATTGTACAGAACATGGACCTGTTGCTCCTTTTGTGGGCTCAATAAAATTGAATTTGGATGGATACTGCTTTGGAAACCATGGAACTCAGGTATAAAGGAAGCGATTAGAGTGTACAATGGAAATACAATTCTAGCTCTTCTGCCAGGATTTGGATTGTGCATGGAACTGCAGCCGAGAAGCTTGGAAGTGGAACGAGCTACTACCTTGGTGATTGGGTGGATGATAGGAAGGGCAGAGAAGTCCTTGGGCTTAGAAGTTCACAGAGGGTGGCTAGATTTCTAGGCAATAATCTGAACATCTCATGTAGATGGGTTAGAAGATCAGCCAGTGCTGTAGCTGATGATGCTGATTGACTAGCTAGACAAGGGGTGAATTGGGGATCCTAGATCAAGAGGCAAATTTATATCTGATTAACTAAGACAAGGGGTGAATCGGGGATCCTAGGTCAAGAGGTAAATTCTACAAATTTGCCTATTAATAGAAGTGCTTGATCTATTAATGATAAAAAAAGTCCTAGGTCTAGTGGCAAATTCTCCTATTTTCTGCTCCAAGGTTTGTATATCTTTCATCTCTTATGCATTTTTTTTAGAGAAAGAGTAACTGATTATATTAAGAAAATGGAGAAGTGTACACGAGAATATATACAAAGAAAAGAAGCCAACCACAAGGATTACAATGGTAGGTTTCTATTACTATACAAAGCTTCCTTGTATGTTCTGGATTTGGGTAGACTTTCTGCTAAGAATTCAACTCCCTAGGAATCTAGTTGAGCTTTACAACCAAGGAGTCCACTAGGTCTCTTGCCTCAGCCAGGTAGTGAGCCAACCTTCAAGGGCCTCCATCATTCTCCCCAAGCCATTTTATTGTATTAACAGAATCACCTTTGACATTTAGAGAAGTCAAACGAAGCTCTCTTGCAATATGGAGCCCAGTTAGCAAAGCTAAGAGTTCAGCCTTTGTAGAATCAGCACCCCTATTTGCTCTACTGGAAGCCTGCCATCAACTTCCATTCCTCCTCTTGAAGACACTACCTTTCTCTGCTGTTCCAGGATTCCCAAAGCACTACCATCGAAATTTAGGGTCACCTCCTCTTCCCATGAAGGAAGGAATCTGGTAATTCTTAAAGGAGCAGGAGAGGATAATAAAAGCTCCACCACATTCTGCTGGACTGCTGGAGGTCATTCAAAGAAACTCCTTTGAACTTCTCCGAGATCAGCACCCATGAATTACGTAGGTAGTTTATATGAGAGAGCAAGTCTCTAAGGGATCTAGCTTTGTTATCAAGAACTCAATTTTTTCTTTCTTCCCACACACTCCACATTGCTGCTTGAGCCACTGTACACCAGTATAATTTTCCCCTTTGCCTAGTCCTCCTTCATACCATTGCCAAAGAAAATCCTCAATTTGTTCAGGAAAGACCCAATTGTAACCAACCAGATTGAGGAAGTGGCACCAAATCTTTGTTTCTGGACAATGCAGCAAAAGATGTTCAACTGATTCACCATTACTGAAGCAAAGGGCGCACACAGGGTGGGGGGGGGCACAATCTACCTTTGCTCTTTTTCGATCAAGTTACAGGTATTTATTCTCTTCAAAAAAGCCTCCCACCAAAAAAAGGACCCTTGGAGGGACATGGGAGCACCAAATCTTCTTGAAGGGAAACCTAGAAATGTTGCCTTCTGATACCAAGACCCTGAAGAAAGACTTCATTGTGACTGTACCAATAGGGTGAGGCTTCCAAACTCATTGGCCTGGAGTTGAAGAGGAAATATAGACCTCTTTTGAGGAATGTATCAAATTTGCAACTTCAACAATCTTTACATCCCTAAAGGCAGTGTTTTCAAACTGCCATTGACCCGGACGGTCAGACCGTTCGGCCCAGGAACCATCAAGGCAACCAATACCATTTCATCCTTAACCCGGCCCTTGTTCAAAAACCGTTGATTTGGTCAGCAACCCACTGACCCGA